CCTAGTGTCAGGAAGTTTGTATATAAATCAAGACAATTCACTTATCAAGAGAATCAAATAGGTCTGTGTGTGTGGTGCTGGCGTGGTCTTATCAAAATGTAAACTCAGGGCCAGCTGTCTGAAATATGCTTCTCTCTAAGGCTATGGGACACTCCCAGGACCAGGGAGGCATTTCCAGAGGCTGCAGGTATCCTTTGGGACTAGCTGTTGTTTTCCTCCATCTTATCAGGCTCTGATTTACTGTGTTTCTGTCCAAGACCCAGCCTCAGGGTGTCCCCCATACAGATGCCTCTGCATGGATGGAATCTAAAGGATCATGGCTTCTCCTCCCATTAACCTCTCTTCCTGCTCTGGAATGGACCTTGCATGTTGCCTGCTTCGTTGAGTTCTCTCCAATGGAATTTATTTTCCACAGGGACAGCAGAGGGCTAGAAACCACACAGGACTCCTCTGACACCAGATGTCAAACCTTCCACTCAGAGTCAGGGCTCTAGGAGCCGTGGGAGCCCTGTCTGTCTTTCTAGAATGTTCTCTTTTTATCTGCAACAGTTGCTCTCTAAGCAAGGGGTCCTCAGGTGCCAGTGACCTGGCTTGACCTAGCTAATATATCCCCCTGCACAATCAAAGTTCTGGGGTTTTGCTTGGTGAATGGAGGGAAGGAAGGACACTAGACTGAATGTGTGCCCAGCCTGTGTCCAGTCAGTCCTCTGTGAGAACACATAAAAGACGACCCCCTGGGAGAGTCTCAGCCTGCCTGTGGCAACGATGAACTTTGTCTGCAGAGGTCATGTTCTCTACTGGTTCCTCCTAGTCCCGTTGTAAATAGGTGGTCTGGACCTCGTGAATCCATCTTCTTTCCCGAACTATTGTGAACATCATCTTAATTCTCTGCAGTACCATGAGGCAGGCCTTATGTGAACATAGGATGGAGAGTGAGCAGATCTGAGCGCCCTGGGCTTGAACTCTGAGATCCTCAAAGGTGGAGTCCATCTTCACAAGACTTTCCACTTGGCCCTGAGATCCTTTGTCCCCTGCCAGTGCTCCTGCTCATTCTCACTCCTAATACTCGTGTGCGCTCCCCCGTCTCTTCAGCAGAAGGCTGGCTATTCACTTACCTGAGCAGCCTTTTATAGCCATGCCCAGCAGCTCAAGTCTGGCCCCTCTCTCTGGAGTTTCTGCAGTGCTTGCCAATAGACATTTGCCGGTGACCCTCAGTGCCCCAGAATCATTCACTGGGTGCTTTGCTACCAGAAAGAATTCTTGTGTGTGTGTGTGGGGGGGAGCAGTCTAAGTCAACACACAGGTTCAGTGAGACCAAAATCCAAGAGATGGAGGCCCCCAGAGAACATTCTATCGAAAACAAATGACACTATCTGAGAAAAGCTGCCAAAGCATGTGTCCTGGTAGTGAGGGCTGGATAGCTGTGATCATGGCTTTTATAGTTTCCCTCATCTTAAGGGGCAGAAGTCCTTCTGAGTCTTGATCTGAGAGGAGTTTGTCACAGACCTAGTGACCCCTAGCATCATACATGGTGAGAGTCATGGGAATGTCCTGATGCCCAAACCTGCTGCAGGAGGATGATGCTCATAGTCCAGCAGGCTAGCAGCTGCCTGCTGCAGGTTCCCCTGTGAATGACACAGGAATGATTGACTTGTGCCACCTGGCCCATCAGTAAGGTAATGGTGACTGACCACCTGAAGGTCCTTGTGGAAGAAGTCCCTGGAAGAAGTCCTGCTTGGAGAAATGCTGGTATTACCTGTGAAGAGACTAGATTACATAAAACAAAAGCAAAAACCAAACAAACCAAAAACCCAGGCTGTCAGGTTGGTTAGAAAAATAGTATTATAGCATGTCATTACATGATACACACTGAAAATGTGTTTTTCGTTAGAAATGGTAAGAAAGAGATGCTAAAATCACAGATGGGAGGCGGGAGTAGAGATGCTATGGCAAAGTGAAGTTAAGCTTCAAACAAACGGTACATGAAGAGGGAGCAGAGATACGGAGAGTGTCAGCCTCCCGGGCTTAATGATCCATGGCAGATCTCAGAAACGTAAATGTACCAAACAGCACAGCGATCATAGGCAAGGCCAACAGGTGCTTTGCATGTTCTTAAAATAAAACATAGGTCTAGTAAACAAGAGTCTCCCAAACACACCTTTAATCCCAGCACTTGGGAGTCAGAGGCAGTAGGTTAGAGACCAGCCTGGTCTGTATAGAAAATTCCAGGATATTCAAGGCTACATGGTGAGACTCTGTCTCAAACTATTTAACTTTATATTTTTAAAGTCTCTGTCAGGAGGTAGAGACAAGAGGACCAGAATTTAAAGCCATCTTCAGCTATATAGTGAGTTCAAAGCTAACCTGGGCTCCATAAGACTTGTCTCTGAGAGAGGCATGGTGGGGGCGGGGCTGTTATGTGACTATAGATCTTCAGCTGTGGTCTTGGAAAAAGCGTGTGTTTGAATTAGCCCTGAACTCCCAGCCGTCTTGAGGCAAGTTATGTAACTTTTGGAGTCTTTATTTTTTAGAACTCACCAGGGTGGAGGGGGTGGTTCTTATATCTGAGTGATTATGAGAACAGATCCAGCTGTCAGATCTTTTCCCGAGCTCTGTAGCATGGTTTCCACATGAGTCAGGACTTCAAAGCAAGCCCTCATGCCCTCTTCTGCACCAGCATCTGCTGAGTCAAACAGTTCATTCCTACGTGGCTTTAGCAGGAAAATCACAGCCGCCAGTGTGGGCGGCTATGATCTCATTCCTACTAGCGGTTATAGTGTAGTCTCAGGAAAGCAAAGCACATGGACTCATCCCCCTACAGTCCTGTGCATTTTCTGTGTGAATTCAGCAAGGTTGCTTGACCTCTCTGAGCCTTGTCTGGGAAGCCTGAGGATGTTTTCCCACTTTGTGGGGTGCAGCAAGATAGGAGAATGTGTCAGTTGAGCTGGTAAGTGCCCTGTTGGGAAAAACGAATAGCCTGTCACCTTTTAAAGTCCCAGTATCTCATTGAGAACACAGAGCAGTTAACCAGGGTGGGGCCAGGCAGTGCAGTCTTGGGCTGTTTCTCTGTTGCTGGTCCACACACACAGGTTAGCCCAAGACTTGCTTGCGCTGAGTGGTCTGTAGAGCCACACGGGGCATAGATTCCATTCCTTATGCTCTAGACCAAGATTCCTGTTCCTCCATTTGCAGGATGACCCATTTCCTATCTTTCCTCTCTTTCCTCAGACCTAGAAGGCTTGAGGAAGCTTGCTTGTTCTGCTTGGAGGTATTGGCCTGGGTGGTAAACTGCTTGTGATACAAGATTCCAAACACTAGGTGGCAGCATTCATCCTCAGCGTCAGTCAATCTGTGGCTGCCAAGAGGCTCTCTGATGGACAGGTGTGCCTACGGTGCTAGTCTGAGGCCGAGACAATGTTCCCAAGAACTGTTTTTAAAAACTTCTAAGGGTAAATGGTGAGAGGTCATGGAGAGTTATCGACTCATGCAAAGACCCCTGGCCAAGAATTTAGGGCTTAGGACCCAGAGAGGCAAACTACAGTTGAACCCGAGGATGGAATCATTGAAGTACATCACATGTTACTGCAGTGGTGTTAGACCCAAATCCACTGGACTTGGTAGGGATTAAAGGTGCACCTTTAATCTCAGCAATGGGAAGGCAGAGACAGGGAGGGGTCTATGAGTTTGAGACCAGCCTGGTCTACACAGAGAGTTCCAGACCAACCAAGGCTTCTCAACAAACAAAACGAGAGAGAGAGAGAGAGAGAGAGAGAGAGAGAGAGAGAGAGAGAGAGAATATCCAAATCCATGTTCAAAAGTCCATGATAAGCCACATATCGAGATTTTAAATAAAGGCCTGCTCCAACCCCTCTGTTACCCACACTCACCCTCTCCCCAGCCGGCCATAGCCTGCTGGATCCAGCTCTGAGGCAGGAAGAAGGTAATGTCATATCTCTGGGCCTCTGTTTCTCTGTTTAGCATGCAGGGTCCCTCTATTCCACATCCTCTGGGATGTGTAGCACGCTCCCAGCTTGCCCCCCAGCTTGTCGTCTGCCATAAGGGCCATCAGAAGCAGCTTCTCTTGTAACTGTATCTATAAGTGGAGCACACGGTGCCTCTGCCTGCAGTGCTCTGCTGAAATGCAATCCCTGGGCCTGGTTTCAAAAACTCTGCCCAGCAGCCCTGACCCTGTTTCAACCCCTGGACTGAGCTGGGGCCTGGGGTAATGTCAGGCATTCTTCAGGGAGCTCAGCTCAGCCCGCAGTTTTGGTACAGACAGCAGGTATGGTAGGGGCAGGAGTCAGACAAGACATAGGTGCTGCAGTGCTGCGGTCCTGCAGATGGTGCACCCTACAGTGGTGGACCTCTATAGACAGAGGTAGCTTGTACAGATGCATTGTCCAAGTAGACGGAAGAGAAAGAAAGAGCTTCAATGACCACAATGCCGCTTACACGACAGTTTATTAATGACAGCAGGTAACAGCCCCCTACCCCCAAGAATGTCACTTCTTGGGTATTAATATCAGAACAAGACCACTTTGTCCAGGGTACCAGGGACTTCTGGACACTAGAATCCTTGATGATCCTGGAGTTGTGGGAATGCCTATGGTTTCCGCAGAGAGGCAGAGGCCCCTCTTGTCTTGGAGCTTTGAGGGACATGGACATTGGCAGTCTGGGCTGTGTAGCTAGGCACGGCACTGGGGACTCTGGGAAGAGAGTATGCATGATGCATAGCCCCCAGGAAGAAGTGGCCAGCAAGTGCCCCTTTGCTGTCTTGTAGGCACAGTGGGATTGTGATGACTCTTGGGTTTCCCTAGAGCATGGGTACTCTCCTTCCAAAGCTCACCTTTACCATCTGTCTGTCACCTAAACCTGCCAAACACCCTTCTCCTCCAGCAGTGTGAGGACCCAGGAAGCACTGGGGATGTCTCTGAGCCCCCTGCTGCCTGCCCCCTGCAACCTGCCTCTTGCCGGCCTCTCTCTCTCTTTCTCTCTTCCAGAATGCCAACCTGGCCCCTTGTGGAGCAGACCCGGATGCCAGCTGGGGCACGCGAGGTACACACAGTGGGGACCCCTGTGGGTCTCTGGCTAGGCCAGAATCACTAGCACATGTCTACCAGTCTCATTCCGAGACTATCCCTCCGGGACCTGCTGGCAGAAGGCTCTGCACCATGGATGAAGGATCCCCTGGGGATCCCTGTTGATCCTTCAGCTCTCTTATCCTGTGCTGCAGGGGTCTGTCACGACTCTTTAGGTTCTATGAATCTCTTGGAGTAGGGCCCAGAGTCCCAAGCAAGCAGCTTCCAGGGTCTGAGCTGAACAGCGTAGGTCAAACCCCGTTTCTGGTCTTTTTCCACTGAGTCTGCTGGTATGTGTGCAAGTGGTCTAGGTCATGTGGCAGCCAGTAATGGCTGCTCTCCCAGCTCTGAGCAGGGCCATGCACCTGGCCATGCTCACTTCCTTGTTACCCTCTGGAATGCTGGCAGAACCCTGCTCTTGAATACCAGTTCATATACAGATGGCAGCGCCAGGGCATCACGGCTTGCCCTTAAAGTGCTTGTCCCAGTCCCCAGCCTCAGATCCGGGACTTCAGAGTCCCAAGTGGGAGGACCAAGGGCCTGCCTCATACAGGCATCTTCCTTCCAGAGTGGTTTGAAGCCAAGATTGTCGAGGCCCTTCCTGTGTCTATGGAGCTCCTGCCATCTGCACCACTTTAGCTTCTATAAGATGATACCTTAAGTCTAAAGAAAAATGTTATCAGAGGGAGTGTAGAGTGCTTGGCGGTTTATAATAATAAACAAAGTATGATGAAGAGGGACTAGGGTGTGGCTGGGGTGGTAGAGTGCTTGCCTCACACACGTACAACTCTGGGTTTTATCCCCAGCCCCACATAAACCACACGGGATGGTGCATAATGTAATCCCAGCACTTGGGATAGGAAGTCAGGGGAATCGGGAGTTCAAGGTCACCCTCAGTGATATAGTAAGTTCAAAGCTAACCTAGATTCAGTGAGACCTTGTTAAAAAAAATGGGGGGAGGGACGGGGTGATGGGATGCATATTGGTAAAGATGTCAGACTCCACAACACCCCTCAGAAAGTTTTCCCTCGAGAACCCACTGCACGGCTGGGTAAACTGAGATAGGTGTCTTTCTCAGAGTAACCCAGAACACCAGGAAAGACACCTCCCAGCCTAGGAGCACAGTGCCACTACCCAGCTTCCAGTATGGCCTCCAGCCTCCTGGCCATGCCTCCTGCTCTCAGTATTCTGTGGGAGACCTTTGGCCCCTATCTTAAGTCCAAGAACAGAGAAAGACCCATGAAGTCTGTTCAGGAGACCAAAGACCAAGCATAGGCCAGCTAATGGGGGTGGGGGCTGCCCAGGAATAAGATTGCTCCCATCCCGGGCATGGATGTTTTGTTCCTAAACCATTCCTGTGGTCTCTGCTCTTTTCTTACAGAGTACAAGGTAAGGGGCCTCCTGCACTACTGACCTCACCCACCGCGCTGTACCTGCCCAGGTTAAAAGTTCCTTTTTGTTGCATTTTCTCTATGAGATGTGCATGTCCACAACCCACACACGTATGTAACCTAGTTTGCCTTTTGGCTGGCCCAGGGGTTCTTGCCTCTGCGATAACCCTGTGGTGTCTTCCTGGCAGATATACCCATATGACTCCCTCATCGTAACCAACCGAATCCGGGTGAAACTGCCCAAAGATGTGGACCGGACGAGGCTGGAGGTAAGGCAAGGTAGGGAGGTATCTGTTGAGACTCTATAGAGCTCGGCCACGAGATCAGGTTCCCACACACGTAAACACCAGGAGATGGTGCCACCGTGGTGACAACACAGGGCAGTGTGAATAAAGTGGCTGTGCAGAGCCTGTGGGATGTGACCCTGGCAGGGACAGTATTGTAGCAGCATACTGGCTTTCCTGGGCTGGCTCTTTCATCTCTACTTACGATGAAAACCCAGAGTGGCTTAAGCGTGTCATTGTGTAGTCTGAGGTTTTTTGGAGCCCTTTCCCTGGGCCCTGGCAAACAGTAGTTCCTCCGCACAGGGAGGGGGCAGCAGAAAAGAGATGAGGTGACCTGGCTGCTGCATGGGGAGGTGGTGCCCCCTTTGACCAACGGGTACTTGACCCATAGGGACTTACACTGGAAAGCAATGAATTCACGTGGCTGAACGGCCCCTTTGGGTATGGCTGGATCTAGGAAGGAGAGTACTTGCATATCCAGTGGCTGTGCTCCCTCTACACTGGCTCCTTCCAGAGTTCAAGCTCCTTCTCTCTCTCATTTGTCTTCATACAACCCACACTGAGCCTCTGGGTGGTCATTGCCCCACCCCACCCTTAACCCAACCAGTTCTACGCAGGGCATATCATTGCCTGAGCAACCGGCTTACCTGGAGTTAAGGGGGCAGCTGGTGTCACCTGAGCTGGGGAGACCCAGGTTGTTCCTGGAAGAAACTGAGACCTGCCATCTGAGATGGAAAGAGGCTGCTGGGCAACAAGCAGGTGGCAAGTGTCCACTGCAAGGAGGGTCAGGGAGGGGACAAGACAGCATAGCAAAACACAGCAAAATCGCCAATAAGTAGTCACTCAGAGCAGCCAGTCCACATGGTACATATCCATCATACCAGCCAAGGAACCTGGAGCCAGAGCTCACTGCAAACAAGAAAAGGCCCCGGAAACATTTTTGTGTATTTTGATGGGCATATCATTCATGGGAAGGGCCAACAGCTAGGTTGGTTAGGAACCTATATGAGATTGGCAGGGTAAGGATAGCCTGGAGGAGACTAAAGGGCAGGTTTCTGCCTATGGTCTTGGAGAGTGGGCTTCACGAGTTCTTGCCTGGGTGTCAGGTATGACATTGGCTTCAATGGTCCACAGTGGGACGTCTTGCTCTCTGGCTGAAGCTGGGCTTGTTGGTGATACTGCTAACTGTATAAAGGAGTGCAGCTGGTCATTGGCAGCTCATGGGTCAGGATCAGGGTCAGCCTAGAGGGATCCTATTTGCTTTGTGTCTTGGCTCCTTAAAAGGTGTGTCCTTGTGGGTAAGTTACTAAGGGTTCTTGGACTAAATCCTTCACCCTTAGATGATGCTCAGAGCTCAGATGACATCAGTAGTAGCTCCTCCAGTCTCTTGAGAGCCTGCCAGGGCTCCCTGTTCCCTGTAGGGCTGGGGTGTGTCTCAGGTGACTTCTGCTTTGCTTGTGTGTCTGCTGAAGCCAACTGTAGCCTAGGGAGGGGATTAAACCTTTCATATCCAGGTGAACACACCCAAGAGTATGACTCTTAGCTATCTTCCCCTTCAAGCTCAGCCAGCCCCAGGAATCGGAGCAGTTACCAGAGTGGGGCGGGCACATCTGTCTTTTCTTCCTCATCAGCTTGGGGACAGGGATGTGGCCCTGGAAGGGGTGTGGTGGGGTTCTCTTACAGTAACAGACTCCCCCCACTCCCACCCCATGGGAGAGAGCTTTAGTTTTATAGCTGAAACCAAATTATAACTTGTAAAGATCCATAAAGCCACAAAGAGGAATAGGAACGGGAAACGCCTTCTGGAAGTCCCCATTGCTATCTCTTCAGAGCGGACAAGCTTCCACAAATCTCTCTCATATGACTCAGACAGTAACTGAGTTGTCTTTCAGGTAAGGAAGGCTCACTCACTGTATACTTAGCTCAACACCTGCTTTCCCCCTGAGATTTGACACAGACCTTTTCTGTGCCAGTCCATGGGATTCTGCCCCCATCTGGCCAAAAGTCACAGAAAGGCTGGCTTCCTAAAGGGCCCTTAGGACAGTGTTGCCACTCACAGCTGGACAGTTGTAAGCATTTAAATGAAGGCACAGAGATACTTAATTGAGCATCTACAGTGCTAAGCAGCAGGTGGCCCCACCTGTGTGCCTCCCATCCTCTAAACTGAGTGATAGCCCTGCATATACCTAGATTGCCATGGAGAAGGGCCATGGATGTGGTCCAAAATGATGATTTCCGGAAACAGGAAGAAGTAGTGTTGTATACGACCCTGTACATGGACGGAGGGCTGTGTAGTCAGCTGGGGGAGAAAAGTGCTTTCGTAGTGCCCTGATTGGCAGACGTAGACAGCATGAACATGGCTAAGCATGGCAGATAATGCTGCTGTCCCTTCTGTGTGGTCGGCTGCATTCCAAGCACATGGCATATTTTAACACTTCTTTCACAACATCACGAGGCACCCAGATGGCTTCCAGGGCCATGGTACCCAAGAGGCGGAGATGGGATTCAGCACTTGTAGCCACTCTGCTAGCCGATCTTCTAGATCAATTACAGTATGTGGATGAATTGCCAAACAAACCTGTCTTCAACTTGTTTTACTCATTATATTTTCTCACAACTATAAAGATTGACACATATACCTTAGAAACATGCATTCATATACATGCACACAAACACACAGACATATACAAACATACATGTGCAGGTGTGGAACACATGCCAAGGCACATGCTCAGAGGAGAGCTTCACAAATCCTGGGCCTGGGACTTCTGAGATGTGGCAACTCAAGAGGCTGAGCTTACTTCCTCTCCTTTAGTTCTTACAGCTTTCAACACGTTGGCTGAGCCCCAACCACATTTTCTAGGGCAACCATTTTCTCATAGACAGTAATCATCTCATGGGATGATTACCATGCCTCCCCAACACCTTTGCAGTAACATATAGCCGATGTTTGATCAAACCCCCAGCCCTGGGGCTTAAAAGAATTGGTATATACAATGTATATATCAAGAAAGGCGGGTGATGTGCTGGAGGGGCTCCTGTCTGCAGCTAAGGTTATGTGGCCACTCAACAGTGGGTGGCTCCTGGGTTGGGGTTCTGAGTTCTTTCTGTGGGCCCCCAGGTTCTGCTGACTAGGAAGAGGCTGCTGCAGAGGATCTGGGTTTTCCCTGCTGGTCTTCACACACCCTTAGGCTAACTGTGTGTGTTTTTTGGTGCAATAATTCCAGGCTAGGAAGCGAGGACCCCGAGGTTCACGTGTCCTTTCCCTGCTCAAACTTGTCCATTCAGTATGATGAGGACAGAGCACCTTGAACCCTGATGGCCAAGGGTGACCATGAGGGGTTCAGAGCCCTCAGGTCAGGCCCCCAGGCTCTTCCTGATCCAGGCGGAGAAGCACTTGAGGACTGTGTGAGAGGACAGATAGACTCGGGCAGGGGCTCTGGTGGATGCCAGCTGCCAGGAACAACAGTCACACATGTGTCCCCCTGAGCAGAGACCTAGTGCCCTTCTGGAGCCGAGTCAACCAGGTTAGCTGGACTTTGGTGCAGGGGACTGTGTGTGGCCTTGGGGCTCCCTTGGGTACCACAGTTCAGGCAGCCTCACCTCAGGAAGAGCTGACATTTGAGTCAAGGCCTAGAGAAATTGGAGATGTTGCTGGTGACCCAGGGAGAAAGGTGCTGAAGGCCCTAGGACTTCCTACCACACAACGATATCCCTCAGAAGTGAGACTGGCCCGCTCTCTGGAAGGCACCAAGAGGGTCTACCTTCTTGTAGCTATGGAAGAAGCTTGGAGTCCTTGGCACTGGCAGCACCTGAGGAGCCAGGGGCCAGGGAAAAGCTGAGCTAAAACAGCTCCATGGGTCCCTGTAGTTAGCTATACCTCATAGTTTTTCCTCCAAGGGAGGGCACTTAGAGAACCAGAGGCCCTAGACCAGGAGACACACAATAGATCCTCTGCCAGGCACTAACTCTTCTGATTCTTACTCACACTCTGGAACTCAACAGAACTTGGGCAATCAAGTCCTAGTCCCCTCCAAGATGAGCAAATACCTCAGGAACTGGGGGTGTGGTGGGGTGAGGGCCACTGGCCTCAGGTCTTTCCCTGCCAGCTGTCTTGCCAGCCTCGCCACTGCGGTCAATGCACCTTCTCAGTACCAGCCATCATATGTGTGCCCCTTCCTTGCTCTCACTTGTAACCAGCTCTCCTGGGCTGTGCAGGGAGCATCCCACAGAATATGACAGGAGTTCGAAGCGAGCCTTTACTACATAGTAAGCTCAATTCTTGCCTGGATTGCACAGTGAGGCCTTGTCTCAAACAACAAAACCAGGGACCACACCTCAAGCCACCTCCCCAACACTTCCACCTCTGGTGGTCCTCTTAAACTGGTCTCATCCCACCCCACCAGGCACCCTTTCCTCTTAGTGCCCTTGGCCTCTCTGAGAGCCTCCTCCAGTAAGTCAGAAGAGTGGGAGCAGGCCTCAAAGTGCTCTGGTAAGACAAGACAGGATCTTCTACATCTTGGTGGTCTAGGAGTGACCTTCTCAGCCCATCAAGTCACCCTGATCTCACCAGGCAGATGTTTCCTTTCCACCTCTGGGAGGCTTGGTGAAGGCTGTGAACCTGGCTGTGTGCATGTGTGTGACTCCAGGCCCGTCTTCCAGATCACCCATTCTGGGGCTCTAAAACTCAGAGCACACAACACAGTTTCAGTAACAAGATTTAGATTTTATGCTTTTAGAGATTACTACATTCTCTAGCCCATTCTGAGACAAGATCCCCTAGAGTGCAGCCTGTCCTTGAACTTGCTATGTAGCCAAGACTGGCCTTAAACTCCTGATCCTTCTGCCTCAGTTTACCAAATGCTGAGATTGCCCATGTATGTCCCCACACCCATCTCTCTTCATTTTTCGCTCTTGATCATTACAACGACCTTTGGTGTCTTTGCTTTAAAGTGGTGGAAACTGTACTCTTTTTTGCCAACATTTTTTTAATTGTGGCAAAATTCGCTGCTTTTAGCATTTTGAAGTGTGCAACTCATGCATCTGCACCCTTCCAGTTTCACAACCATCATCGCCATCTGTGTCCAGAATGTTTTCATCCCCCAGAAAGGAAACCCCACGCCCTTCATCAGTCAAGGCACCCACCCTTCTCATCCACACCCCTCCCCCAGCAATCCACTTCTGTTTCTTCCAGGCCTGCTCTGGACATTTCATTCAGCAGAGTCATGCCATGTGCGGTACGTTTGTCTCTTCGCACTTGGCCTGATGTTTTTGAGGCCTATAGCTTCATGTTATTCTGGGTTTAATGATGCTGCACTGCATCTTATTTTCCCGCTGTCAAAAGTTGGCTTGTTTCTGCGCTTGACCCTTGGGACGAAGGCAGTGAAGGTGGGCACTTGAGGACTGTGGGAGTCCCTATCTCTGTTCTGGGTGTCTGCTTCTGGGCAGGAGAGCTGTTATCCCTCACTCCATTACTTTGTTGAGAACCTGCCCCCTTCTTTCCCATAACAGTCAAGAGGTCCTGCTGGGGAAGGAAGTTGGCAGGAGACTGTCTTAGCCAGGCCTACTCCCTCTTGCTTTCTTGCTACCCTATCCTATCTCCAGCTTCCCTCCTTTCTCCCTGCTGAGCTGAGGGGAAGGGAGGGGCCTGGGGGGGATTATCTGAGGTCACATGAGTGTGCCTCAAGGAACAAGAAGTGTTTTTTTTTTTCTTTTCCTCTATTTTCTTAGAAGGGTGTGTGGATAGTGAAATGGGGTCTCGACCCAGACTGGCCTTGAACTAGAGGATGACATTAAACTCCTGACCCTCGGCCTACACTTCCCAAATGGTAGACTTACAAGTGTGCACCTCCAAACTCGGCTGAGAAGTGACTCCTCAGCCTGGTGTGTGAGGCGGCTGTGAGAATAACAGGCCAGGAGTGCTCAAGGGACAGACCACTTTATAATATGGGGATCTATCAGAATTGTTCTTAGTACTGGGGACCACCATGAGCAAAGGCAGAACCCACGCACACAGTCACAGCTGGTCCTAATACTAAATGCTGACCAGTACTGACTCTACCCACCCAGTCCCCAAAACTTCAGGAGGGGGGGTCGTGGTGCATGTTTTCAGACTTCCTCTCAGAAGCCCCACAGAGGCGCTGATGGTTGTAGCCCTGAACATCCCAGCTCAGGAGTCAAGCTCAGTGACTCAGAATAACTGGCTTGGGACCACATGTCAGAGTCAAGATGAGGGAGGGTTTGTGCCATGGCCTGGGCCCAGCTTGACTTCTTTGCTGCATGCTGTGATGGAACACCGTGACCAAAAGCAACTAGGGGAGGAGAGGATTTATCTGGCTTACACTTCCATTCACTGTTTATCATCAGAGGAAGTCAGGACAGGAACTCAAGCAGGGTAGAAACCTGGAGGCAGGAGCTAGGCTATTGCTCATCATGGCTTGCTCAACCAGCTTTCTTGTAGAACCCGGACCACCCGTCCAGAGATGATACCACCCACAATGGGCTGGGTCCTCCCCTATTTATCACTAATTAAGAAAATGTTCTACAGGCTTCCCTACAGTCTGATATTATGAAAGCATTTCCTTTTTTTTTTTTATTTTTTGAGACAGGGTTTCTCTGTGGAGCTTTGGTGCCCACCCTGGAACTAGCTCTTGTAGACCAGGCTGGCCTCAAACTCACAGAGATCTGCCCGCCTCTGCCTCCCAAGTGCTGGGATTAAAGGCGTGTACCACTGCCACCCAGCGGAGGCATTTTCTTAATTAAGGTTCCCTCCTCTCAGATGACTTCAGCTTGTGTTAAGCTGTCACAAAACTAGCCAGTACACTACCCCTTGGCTTTCTCACCTGGGAGATGGGAATAGAACAGAATACACTGTCTGAATAGCCGCTATCCCAATGAAAGAAAGCGGTAAATGAGTCAGCCTATAGGAGTTTACAGCCCAAAGGCTCCGAGCAGGCAGGAGTCCTGTTGCAGGGCATGGCTACTGAACTTGGCCACAGGGAGCTTTTGTCCGTGGGAATCGGTACGGTAGTCAAAGGGGCTATGGCAGCCCCATGCCAGTCCCTGTGTATCCCTACCAAGACTGCCCTCTAGGCTTTGTTTCTTTCACTGCAAAGAAGCCCTGGTCATGCCAACAAAGTCACTCATCCTCAGTGGCAGCCCTGCTCCACCCGAGAGTCACAGGGAGCTGGCTTGGCAGGCTTGCTGCTGCAAAGCTGTACGCAGATTTCTAGGGCAAAAGCTGCAGAGCCTGCAGTCATAATGGACCAGGCTTGGCTGTTGGCCATAGCACGACCGCTCAGCGGTGGAGTGAGACAAAGGTCAGTTTGCAGCTGCCTTGGGAAGATGGAGAGCAAGCCTTCCAGCCATCCCGGGCACTGACGTGATCTAGCTGTAGATCTGGAGCAGCTGGAGAACCGGACCAGGATGAGAGGAGAGCGGACGTGCTCAGTCCTGGTCCAGCAGTGGCCTGCTTGGTCACTGTGTCACTTCTGGTTCTGCCAGGTGGTCAGAAGTCCTTCTCGCTTGAGGGACAAGAAGGTTCCCGTGAGGCAATTTTGGGGTTGGGAGACTGTGTGATTTTATCATGGGGATGTGTTTGTGAGTCTTTGTTATTCCTGGAATCCAAGGTAACTCTAGGCTAAGAACAAGGACTGGAGACATTCAGGCTCCTTTTCTGTCTGGAGCGGGACACAGTAAACACTGGCCTAGAAGCCTCAGCTCTTATCTTTGCACTGATCGTCCTCAAGGGTCATAGATAGGCTGGGTAGCCTTGCATGGTTAAGTCTGTGCACAGAACTAAGTAGGAACTGGACCCAAAGGACAGGCACAGAATGCAAAGGGGCCAGGCCTGCGTGCTGCCTTTACGACAGGGGTCCAGGTGAGGAGCCAGTGCTTCTCAGAACGTAGGCAACTTCTTCTCAGGTCCAGTTTCAAGCACCACACACTGACTGTCCTTGTTTTCCCTTGTCTGAAGAGACACCTGTCACCTGAGGAGTTCCAAGAAGTGTTTGGGATGAGCATCGAAGAGTTTGACCGCCTGGCCCTGTGGAAGAGGAATGACCTAAAGAAGAAAGCCCTGCTCTTCTGACAGCCGCCAGCGTCTTTCCAGGAGCCCGTTGGGGGGCAGAGCCGAAGGACCCCACTGCCCCTCTCCCAGATCCCCCTCCTGCACTTTTCCTCTGCTTCTCTGTGTCAGTGAGGCAGGCGGGTGCCTGAGGGAGGCAGGGTGGGGCCAGGCCCCGAGGAGCATCCAGCAGGCATGGTACCTTCTGCAGCAAGGATACTCCCCCCTGTAGTTTAGGGCCAGGTGCCAGCTTGACTCGCTCCTTTCCGCCACAACCTGAGATCAGGGCAATGCCGCAGCCAGCTATCGTAGGAGATGGGCCAGAGCATTCGGCCAGCCCAGCACCTTCCCAGTGCCCTGGGGTGCGGTGTGACCACGCCTGTGCTAGGCACTTGGGCAAAGATGTGTCCAGGAGGCGGGTGAAAGGCTCGCCAGTGCCAGACCCTGACACAGCAGGGGTGGTAAGCGTGAGACTCCTCAGAGCATGAACAGGATGCAGGCGGGCTGAGGCAGGGGAGCCAGGCCCATGTCCGAGAGGCAGTGGGACTGTGATGTTTTGCCATTATTGTGATGGATCTTTTCTGGGGAATGAATGTCGACCTGACAGGGTGCCCCCAACTAGTGCTCTGTGTACTGTGCCCTTCCAAATCACCCCCTTAGTTGCCTAAATGATATCTTTCAAGTTCCACAGAAGTTTTTATTTTATTAAAAAGTATCGCTTCCTTACACATAAGAAGACATATATGCAGAGTTTAGTTTTACGGTCCCTCTGAAGAGGATTGCCTCCGCCTTACACCCCCCCACTGTGCAGGCCTCTGTGCTTCCAGTCCTCCGCGTTCCTCAGAGGCAGGAGCCCATCTGTTTCCCTTCGTCCCTGCTCCTTTGTATGTATCACACAGACCGCCTCAAAGACAGACTCGCTCAGTAGTGCCGTTTGTAAATACATGTGAAGTGTACGTCTCCTTTTTCCTCACCGTCGTTTTCCTAAACCTCAAAGAGAAGAGCGCCCCCTGATGGCCAAAGCCCTGGAATAAAGGTTTCCCCACTGTGGCCTTGTCTCACAGGAACCTGACCAGTCTTCTCAGTAAAGACACTCACTGTAGCCCCCACAACATAAAACACACATGTTCAGGAGTCATGCTGTCCCACGCAGCCCCGACACAGGCACTGAGTGCTGCAGGAGAGACGAGTAGAGGTGACGCTTCTTCCAACCTGGGTGTCCAGAAGTGGGAGCTAACTAGGACCCTGGTGACAGACATAAAAGAGCATGCCTGCCACAGGGTGTGTGGGCACTGTGGTCCTGAGTGACTCTAGCTGTCCCCTCCTCTGGGCTGTCCTTCACACATTCTCACATCCCAGGACACGTTGAGTCTTGTTTCCGCTGGGCCATGGAGGGGAACTTTTGGTACTTAATCTGCTTCCTGCCACTTAGCAGTCCGGACCTGCACAACTGGAAAACCCCACCTCCTCACTCATGAGGTGTCATGTCATGTCTGATTCCTGGACACCTGGGAAAATAAACGGTGACACACTGTAACTTGTGAAAGGATAAAATGTGTTCAAGCATGCTTGGTTTCAGAGGCATGGGCGGGGGTGTGTTCATGGAGCAGGACGGGCCACCTGGGAGGGACTCCTGTTCCATCCAGAGGTGTCTATGAGGGCTGGAGCTCTGGCTTGGTCAGCCTAGGGCGCCAACATTATGCTAACAGGGTCATCTGCCCACCCTAGGCAGGATGAGGTGCTAACTGCTGTTCCGTGGTAAATGTCCAAAGGGGCCCCCAGTGTGCTCCCTGATGTCAGGCCATGCTTTTATAGAGAAGGTGCCGGGGATCAGTCTTGAAAGATGGAGGGTCTTGGCAGCATAACAGGGAAAGGCATCCCAGGCAGATGGAATGGCGCTGCGGGATGCTGAGGCTGTGAACGGTGACACATGTTCTGAAAGCTTTGGTGTTTGGAAAAGGCTGAGCACGGGGCTGGGGAAAAGGCTGGAAGGAAAGAAAAGGTCAGCAGGGGTCTTCAGGAGTACTCATGGCACCCTGGGGTGAATGTGTCACATTCTCTAATCTTATACCAATAATTGACAATTCTGATAATCTCGGTGTTTTTTTTTTTTCCACGCTTGCTGTGTTAAGCAGCACCGCGGTCTGCTGCTACTCAAGCAAGAAGCTGGTACATTCATGGTTGGTTCTGTAGTGTGAATTCTATTTGGTTTTAATAATAAAAAACCTGGAGTCAGATAGTAGGGGGTGAAAGCTGAAAGATCAGAGAAGCAGAAAAAAACAGCCAGCCACAAGTTAAGAGCTAGTTAAGAACCTCTAGGAGCCGGGCGGTGGTGGCACACGCCTTTAATCCCAGCACTCGGGAGGCAGAGGCAGGCGGATCTCTGGGAGTTCGAGGCCAGCCTGGTCTACAAGAGCTAGTTCCAGGACAGGAACCCAAAGCTACGGAGAAACCCTGCCTCGAAAATCCAAAAAATTAAAAAAAAAAAAACCTCTAGGAAATCCTCAGACCAAAGGGTATCCTGTCTCTACAAGTCCTCAGACTGAATGCCCTCTCTACAAAACCTCCGAGTGAATCCTGAGCTCCTGTCTTCTCCCGCCTTATACTCCTCTCTCCACCCAGACATTTCACTCCTTTCTCCACCTCCCAAGTGTTGGGATTGAAGGCACGCGACTCCCAAGTATTGGAATTAAAAGTGTGAGCCACCACTACCTGGTTCTGTTTGAGACTGGATCCACCTATTGTAGCCCAAGGTGGCCTTGAGCTCCCAGAGATCCATCTACCTTTGCCTCCCAAGTGCTGGGATTAAAGGTGTGTGCCACCACCGCCCAGCCTCTCTGGCTAACTTGTGGCTCGCTCTACACTCAGGCAGGTTTCATTTGTTATAACAAACAAAATATCACCACCTTGTTTCCTCAGTGAGTCTTGGCAATTCCACCTTCCAAGAATTGTCTGTGTCTCTCCTTGGGCACTGCTGTCACTGGATGAGCCAAGGACAGTATGGTAAAGGCCTCTGGGTGCAGGTGTGTGCCTTTCTGTCTTAGGAATTGTGGTCCATACAACACTTTCCACTCATTTTCCAAGTGCCCTATTGTCACCCCACAACCAAGAGCAAAACCTTAGAACAGCAATCTGGTAGTGCCAAATGGCTAGCAGCCTTGAGCCCTGGCTTCAGCCTCAGTGTCCCTGGGCATTCCTGTCCCTACTAGGCAGCTGAATGTCACAACATGTTCTGCTTATCCTGCACTTTCCGGGTAGCATGTCTGTGTCTTGCACACTGGTTTCTCTCCCAGGTAAGCCCTGCTCTTCTTTCCCAGCTCCTCTTAGAAATGGCTCCCACAGGGCTCTTTGCCGACTCAAAGTCACCAGCCTACCCCAGATTCCTCAAGTACCTTCCTTGTACCCTTCTGTGTGTACCACAGTCTTTGTGTGTGTGTGTGTGTGTATGTGTGAATGTACAGGTACAACCTCTGGTTGTGGAGACCAGAGGTTGACATTGAGAGTTTTCCCTGGTTGCTCTCTACCTTATTATTTTTAAGAATTATATTTATTATTCCTCAATTACGTGTGCACACATGCACGTGCACACACATTTATATAATGTGTTTCCTTCTCATGTCCTCTCCTTCCTGCCAAATTTCAACTGTCCACCACTAAATCCCTCTCTGACCTTCATAACTTTTTATTATAAATTTAAATCTAATTAACATTAATTAATGTTAATATTAATAACAAATATAATTATTAATAAATTAAAATTGATTTAAATTTGAAAATAATTTTTTTTTTTGCACAAATTTAATGTTTATTCCACGTTTCTGTCATATTCCTGGATCCTTCACCAATGTTACATGAGGAAAAAAAACAAAAGCAAAACAAATGAAAAACTGAAATCAGAATCAGTAATGTTATCAAGGAGGGAAGCAAATAAATTAAACTCTAGCAGCCATCAGCAAGAGGCCAGCAAGGAGAACGCTGTGGAAGGACATGAGGTTGCTAGAAAACTGCACGCAGACTCTCACCAGCAAAACACGCTCCTGCACGGAGTGGAGCAGAAACAGATCTTTTCCTGCTAAGGTAACAGAAATGCAAGTTCTTTTTCGAATACTGTGGAAAGGCAAATGTGTGTATCATGGTAATTCTACCCAGCTGTTACAGTGCGGGCCAGGAACACACCTGCGGATTCTGGGGTGGCGTATACTGTAATTCTTTGATTGGGGTAGTGGACACACTAGCAAAAATTGGAGGGTAGGAAGGGAAGAAATGAACACAGAGGTACAAGACAAAGGCGAATGAGACTTCTCTTATATCTTAGCAACATTTAGATGGAATCAAACTTCAGTGCAGTCCACTCTGCTTAGATGAGGCTTTGGTTCAGCTCCCAATCTCGATTGCGTGACGCAGTCTCCTGTGAGAACACTCAGGTGTCTTCTTAAACAACAAACCTATTTTTAGTGGTGGAGCCGCTCTTTGTAGCCGTGTCTGCGTGGGACTGATAACCAATTACTATCTTTGGAGGAAGTCCTAACCTTTCCTTGTATACCCTCCCTATGTGTGTGACTGCGTCTCTGTTTTCACACTCAGTAGTCCATATTGCTATCTTATCACCTTTAGCTCTAACATTGATTTTAAAATTTAATATTAATTTCTGTGCTGTGGGACGTGCACATGCTAAGTGCATGCATGCAGATCAAAGGATAACTTGGGGGAGTTGTCTCCTTCCAACATGGGGGGTCCCTGGAATTGACCTTAGGTCACTGGTCTCAATGCTCTTACCGGTGGAACCACCTTTCTGGTTCTACTTTATATCTGTGTGTGTGTGTGTGTGTGTATGTGTGTATGCTCTAACACATTTAATTAGTGTTGCTTGCATTGCTCTCTGTAGATATGAGAATGGGGGGGTAATTTTCTTGAGTGGGAACAACTTGCCAGTGGCTACACCACTGAGCAATATCACACACACACACACACACACACACACACACACACACACACCTGCAGCAATCATTAATTGCCTCTAGCTACTCAGGGAGAGGTGGGGCAAAAGAATACCTCCCTGTCCATGCTGGAATGGTGATGGACTCAGACTTCTGTAAATCTCACACAGCCAGCACTACCATGAGCCTATGGGTGCATCGGCCACTACATGCCCAGAAGACAGCATTTCTTAGCGCTCCTCCCATCCTGACTCTTACATTCTTTCTGCTCTTTTCCCCACAACGTTCCCAGAGCCTTAGAGGAGGTCACATTGATGTCCTGTGTATAGCTGAGCAATCAGTCTGAGTCTCTGCACTAACGGTAGCCCACTACAAAGAAGAACTTCTCTGGTGCAGGCTGAGAGCAGCATTAATCCATGGTTATAAACATGGCAATTTAGGAGGCAGCTCGATGCCATGCCAGTTTCACAAAGCAACAGCAGCAAGTTCCCACCGGGCCTACGACCTCCCCAGGCATAGGCTCTTGACCAGGTCTACAGTACCAAGCCTTGTTTTTTTGAGACAGAATCTCTTACCAGGACCTGGTGCTCACTGCTTAGGCTACAGTGACTGGCTAGTGAGCACTGGGGATCTTCTTGTCCCTGCCTCCCCAGTGCTGGAATTACAGCAATACTGCTGTTTCTGTTTTTTTGTTTGTTTTATGTTTTATTTTAAATGTGGGTGCTGGGATGAAACATAGGCCCTCATTTTTGCAGCTCCAGCACTTTTTGGGGCTCCCACACCCCTGGAGGTGCTTCATCAGTTCACTGATTGCCCCTTTATCTAGCTCTAAGACTGCAGGCGCAGACTTGCACATCACTAGCCGGACACACGTAACGACTGTCCTAGGATGTTTTCTGACCAGGCTGGCACTCAACCACCTCCCATGCCCACTCTAAACTGTCACAAAGATGCTAGACCAGCATGGCCCCCATTCCTCTATGTTCTAGAGTCATGCTATCTGCCCTGCCACTTATCAA